ACGTGTGATTTATGTGGAACTGCCTGCTAGTATTGAAGCACAACATTTTAGGGAGAATATCGCTGTTGCTTGCAAGTTGGCATGAGGAAAAATAAACGAATCTCTCCCCTATGGCAAGAGATCCCAACACATGGTGGAGCTAGATGATGGCAGATGAGGGGTTCGGCCTCCACAGTCCAAGTACAAAGGTATTTCTGCAGAATAGGGCCAGGGGCTGGCTTCCTGTGCTCAGGTGCAGAATTTCATGTTCATTTTCAGCTTATCCCGTTTCAGCCTGGGTTCTACATTTTTGGCTAGGTTATGGAACAGCATTGCCTGATGCCGCCTAAAATACAGCAGTGAACTTGTCTATTGGCACTGGTGCTAAATGTACCAAAGTTAACGGGGAATTAACAAATCCTGACTTCTTGTCTGGCCTCTTCCTTCAGCTCACCAGGAGTATCTCAGCCCTAGTAAAATCTTCCTAGGGGCTCAGAGGTCTTTGTGCATCCCCTTTGTATGAGCGTGGGAAGTGCTGTGGAGCAAAAGCAATGGGAAGAGGGGAGCTTGTGTCTGTTTTTAAGCCAAGAAATGAGAAGCACTGCTGAAACCCCTGTTTTTAGCCCCTGCTTACAGTTATACACAAGGCACATGAACTCAAACGTCTTTGTGCTGAAAAGACTGGGTGCTGAAGCCCTACTCCTGCTACTAGGGAAATATCTTTTACTCTAATGAGGTACCCAAGTGCATTGGAGGATTTAGACCAGAGGATCAAGGCTTTTGCAGCCTGTTTCTCATTTGGGATATAGGCAGGAGCATGTCATTAACAGCTCCACATTGGCTGGCAAAGGAGTTGTCCGCTCAGAAGGCTTTTCTGTTGTGTTTTCTTGTTCGTTTTGCTGGGCTTTTCCAGCTGTAGCAGCTCTCACACACCAAGCCACTTATGACACCTCGCCTTGGATTCATCACCACCTTCTCATTTTGGAAAACTGTAAGTTAGACAAAGCCTGAGGAACCAAAAGGAGGAGCCGGGATACCTGGCTGTGGTGGCACAAGGTTGGACAGGAGGCCGCTGGTGTCCTGCCTGGCACACCTGGTCGCAAGCTGAACAGCCAAAGGCAACCAGGCAAGGACAAGGGCAAAGCTTCGCAATGGTCCAGGGGAGCCATGGAAGGATGGTAAAATGAGAGCAATCAATTAACAAGCTGCTGTGGCTTCAGGAAAGTGATTACAGACATCCTGGTGTAATGAGCACATCTGATGCACAGAAGCTATTTAACCTTCAGCCTTGTGCCTTGTAAAGCACCTCTGGGGCTCTGGGCAAGGCTGTTAATTATTAGGGTCAACCTTAGCAGATGGAGGTGTCCTCAAGTATGGGTTGCTGTGATACACTCAGATAATTTCTCCATTATGTCAATAACTAATTTCCTAAATTGCTCAAGAATTGACAGATTAGAGTCCATTAACCAAGCCTTAACTCCTGACTGCGGGAGCAGTTACAGTCCACAAGGGCTGAAAAGCCCATTAGTAGGCCCTCGAGTACACATACACGTGTGTGTATAGGTACCTGCCGTGTGGCAGCTCCGTATTAGCCATTAGTAAAACAAATAATCAATGCACATTAAAAAAAAAAAAAGTGGACAACAACAGACGTTGTCTTAATCAGAGCAAGCAGTCTTCAGATGCTCCGATAGCAGAGGAGGATGTCTGTAAGATTTAAAGATCTCTGTATTTAGAAATTGTAAATGAATAGAGTTAGAGTGAACTGGTAATTACACTTAATACCAAAAGTGCATCGTTTGTTTCTGCAGAGAAGTATTACGTCCGGTAAACACTTCATGGATTCGATAAGCTCTACATTGCTACATTTTTCACCCCGATGCTGTAAGACAAATTGCACTGCTCCTGTGAACACGTGCCATATAATTTGTTGTACTTCAACGCAAGATTTTTTTTCCAGTGAAGGACCAGGATCCTTGGAAAGTGCAAGACAGGAAGACAGGCAATCCCATCGATTCATAGAGAGGTGTTTTTGCTTTGTCCCCACAGACCCCCTTTATCAGCCCCCCCTCCATCCCTCATCTCACCGGTGCCCTGCCGTGCCCCAGGCAGAGCACGAGCGCCCGCAGGTGCACCCCGCGCCCGAGCCATCTCCCACCAGCCCCAGCCAGGAGGCTGGGATTGAAATTTAATTTGCCTGGTGCGTTCGGGGGCCATTTTATTCAGCTTTTCCTCCAATTTACTTGGCAAAGAGGCTCAACTGGCAGCTGCCTCACTGAATGGGCTTTGCACCCAGTCTAACCTCCTCGATTTGCAGTTCCCAGTGCTGGAAAACCTCTCTGTCTCGCTCGCAGAAGTTTCTATAGCAATCGCTGCCATCCCATCCCAGCACCGAAAATGGCAGACCATTCAGATTGTAATTTTGCTGGACGGTGATCGCTCCTCTCTCCGCTGGCCGCGGAAATTTCGCTTCTCGTGAGACGCCGCCACAACTGGAGCCCGCTCTTCTGCCTGTGTTTCCAGCAGGCTTTGCCCCCTCGCACCCCAACCAACTCTGGTAGCTGCCTGCAGGGGGGCTGAACCTTGGCTAAGGGGGAAGCAGGGCCGGTCCCTCATCCCCGGGCTCCAGGACAGGCCTGACGTGAGGGATGTTTTAACAAGCCCGCAGGAGAAATCCCGACCGACCAAGGCGTCGCTTCGTGACCTGAGCGCTATCCATCACTGGAGGTAGAACAAACAAGTCCCACAAGTGCGCTTGGCTCTGCTAATTGCGAAAGAACAGAGGATACAAAGGAGGCTTTTTCTCCACGTCAGTGAGCTTGCTCGCCCTGGCTCATTTAACTCTAGCTTAAACAATCACTTGATCTTTTGTTGCGTGCTTCATCTTCCCGTGGCGGTGATCTCTCTTAATTACTGGGACATTAAAGAACCGCGCACTAAAAATATATTCAGCGACAGAGCTGAACGGTTTTCCTTCTGCGGTGAGAAGCTGTGCTAGAATTATACCACAGCTTTCGAAGGAATTGATCGAGCATGTCTTAAGCCCCTCTAATAATCTTTTCCTATACTTCCATGGCTATTGTTGCCTGCTGGAAAAAAAAAATTAGCGTAAAGCTGAGTAAGGGGAATTGCGGATAAGTGTTTGTAATTTGGCTTTGGACTGACGCAGTGCGATTGCACTGAAAGAATTCGAAATCTTTGCACTGGCAGCGGTGCTTGAATCTGGGGCTATAGGATTCGCATTGGAAAAGAGTGGATTTTTATAACGATTTAAATGAACAATTTCAGCTAGAGAGTGGCTGAGCGCAGCCAACTAAACCCTTCACCCTGACAAAGAACTGGCGGGAGGACGACGGAAACTCATCCAAAATTTTACCAACATGAATGCAGAGTAATAGGTCAGAGAGAAGCGCTTCTGTGTTTTAATGGCGCTCTTAGAATTCAATTCAATGTACAACAAAAGTTGTTTTACAAATATGCGGAGAATGCAGAAAGCTGGAGGGGGAGCAAGTGGCCTGCATCCTCCATCTGCTCTGTCCTCCCTCTGCTCTTACACAAGGAGCTGCCACCACGAGTCCTCCTCTTCGGCAGACAGAAAGGAAAACACGGCCGCTGCCACAGCCCAAGGGTCAGAAGCATCTTCCATGTTGCAGGGCCATGGGTACTGGGCCACATCCCTGCTGTTTGGCACCCTGCCCCGAGAGAAGCAGCACTGTGCTTCTGCAGAACCTCCACGGAAAAAGGTAACCAAGGGAAATGCAGCGAGAAGCTGCATTGCCACCCCGTTTATAGCAGGATAAAGGGGGTAGAATTAAACATATCTACACCATCTATGTCTTTTTCTCCATAAATTAAGAAAAAACATTTTGACATGCAGAATAACGCCCAGAGGGTGGCAACATTTTAATGGTTAATGATAATTTAACCAGCACCTCACGGGATGCTGCCAGCTCTGGAGCGTGGCTGTCACTGGGGGCAGCTGAAGCAAGGTAAGAAACAAAATCCAAGCGTGCAATCAACACGCGACAGGTCAGTTGGGCCAGGAGTTCACCAAGGATCCTGTTGTGGTCTCTGCCCCAGGACTGGTACTCTTTGACCGCCTCCCAGACTCCATGGCCCGAATTTTGTACACGCCAAAGCTCTTGATGCCCAAAGCCAACAGGAAGATGCTCCAAGCCCGGGGGCTTCAGGGAAGCTGAGCCTCTGCAAACCTGTGCCCTAGCCTCAAGAAACAAGGTTGCAAGACACAAAAATAAAAATAAAATAAGATAAAGTATCCCCAAACCCACACTGCTGGGGTTTGCTCACCTCTGAGAAGACAAACAGACCAGAGGGGCATGAGAGAGATGTGTGTAAGATGGAAAAAAACCTGCAAAGGCAGATAGACTGCATCTGTTTTTGAAGTATTTTGGAAGAAGCTACAAAAGGGACTTTTTTTTTTTTTTTGAGCAAAATTTTTATTTGGACCCCAGAGACTTAACTACTGCAGGATGTTTGAGGCAAAAAAAAAAGAAATAAAAATTTAAAAAAATCTTAAGGCATCTTAGAGAAGGACCTAATGTTTACATGGATAACAAAGTGAGGTTGCAGTCTCCTGCCTCATACACCTTGGTGAATTGCTAACATTTATTAGTGACTTAGAAGTTTTCTGGATGCTCTTCTCTAACAGTGGATATCACTGCTGCTGCAGGCAACACACTGAAGCGAAGTGGTGGTGGCTCCATCTTCAACATGCCAATTCCTTTCTTTGGAAGAAGTGAGGAGATCGAAGGTTTCCAGTGAAAGGTTCTCCCATTTACAACGCTAAGATGTGCTGCATCCTTTTCCTGATTCTTTTCCTGATTTAAAAAGCAAAGCAGTCAAACATTTTGCAGATTGCTATTTTAAATATGAAGAATGGCCTGGGGTGCTCTGGCTGATCTAGGCAGCCCAGACGGAGACAGAGACAAGCAGCTCACTGCAGAGTTACCACAACTCTTACCTATTCCGAACAGGTACAGAAAAACAGCACGAACAGCATGTTAAATGCTTATAAAATCTGGATTTATTTTTTTCTTTGTTACAACAAAATATTTTCAATTAAGACAGATTTAACAGGGTTCGGTTTGTTATATATTAGACTCAATTCTGTGTTTAAAAAATTCTCAGTATACATTCAAATTAAAACCTCAACAAAATTTACAAAGCCACTGCAGTTCACAGGTACGGGAGCTCAGGTTGTAATAAATCATAAAGGAAATCTGTCATTACAGGTAGAAGAAAAACTACATGAACTGGTTGGGGTTTTAATCACATACCTCAGATATTCTTTTTCTTTAAAACAGACGTGTTGTACCCAAAAAAATTACTCTGTAAAGAGGCACATGGTGTTTAGTTGAAGGTATTAATTCTGTAGCCCAAACAAGGAAACTAATCCACTTGGAGTAGCTAAATTATTTTTTGCACTATTTACATACTTTACTGAAGTATTTTCATCCCAGAGCCTCAGAAAACATCTTAGAATATTAATGAGTTAAGCAAGCCTGGCAGCACTCCAGGGCTAGCGAATAAGAAAATAACACAATTCCCATTTTATCAACGAGGAAACGGAGGTGCAGGGGTAACAAAGATCCAGACAACTGCAGAAAGAAATCCCTAAATCTTGATCCTCTCAGACAGGTCTTGACGGAGAGACTGTTCTCTCTCCTTGTTAGGTGCCTGGTGACCACGCTAAGCACTGCTTGAAACCTGGTCATTTTGTTCATTTTTATATTGCTGCAGAACTGGTGACATCTACCCAGCTGTAGTGTCGTTGTGATCACATTTACTCACAAAAACCCATTAATGTTTTTCCCTTTTAGATCAAAATAATGACAAGAGCAAGAAGTGCATCTTCAGTTCCTGTGAAGACCTTTAGTAGACTGTCTCCTTATACCCTGTTTGGGGTAATTGTTCCCTCTATTTGTGCAAAGGTAAATACTGAAAAACAATAGTTTAGATAGACAGACACAGTTGTGTCTTATTTATTAATAAATAAATAAGAGCTACAGCACAAGAACGTGAACTGCAAATAACATCTTTCAAGATAGTCTGTAGGGATGGAGTAACTACACTCCTAGAGGTTGTAGTTTAAGTTGTTGGGGATTGTGAACAGCTTTGTCAATTGGAAATTTGAAACAAGTTACCAAGAGATTCTCAGCCAGGACACGGCCTTCGTAAACCAATGTGAAATCCTTCACGTGGTCCATAAGCACAAGGATTTTACTTTCAGTGACAGCAAAATTTCATACCACATCCCTGAGGTTACTCAAAAAGATGTTTTAAACAACAACTCAGCAATAATATTTGCTGAATGACTAAGGGGTAGATAAAAACATTCCAGATCTGATGGGTGAAAGCATATAGCATAAATCCAGCAATTTGAAGGCCATTAAGGAGTGCGTGCAATCCATTCGCAGGCATTTCACTGGTTACATTTTGGCAAGTGAAACATCTTAAGGTGGGAGCAGAGAGCGAAGGACAGCTGCTGCCTGCCAGGCAGCAGGGGATGGGACTGCCGGAGCGCTGAGCACCTCGGGCAGGTCCGGGCTGCCTGACAAATTGGTCCCGTCAATCTCCCCCTATGGTCCTGACCTCAAAGCGGCAATCCACACTCTCTGGTGCAACCACAAGTACTGCACAGTGATTTAAGCAGCTTTTCCTGTTTTCGGTCTCTTTCAGCCCCAAAACGCTCCTGAAGTACTCCCCGTTTCCTCTGCCTGATTGCTGCCAGCACCTACCAGCAAATCCCAGACTTGACTTCCCTCTCACGGCTTGACAGAGTTCACCTGCATCCCAGGAGGCTTTCAGTGATTCCACTGCCCTGCTGTGTTAGGAGCTGTGCTTCCAAAAACGTTGGAGTATCCAACTTTGGGATCAGCACACACAACGCAAAAACGCCTCCAATACTGTTCGGTATTTGCTGCACTGGGTTGAGCACAGAAACATCTGCCTGGGGGCTCCTGGAGACCCTGGTTAAAGGAGGTTGGTTGTTACCCACACAGACCATGCAAAACCACTTCACTTCCACGGCCTGAGTCTCTGTGGGAACACAAAGACTGCCAAACCCCTCTCTCACGCCTCCCAGATGCCTCACCTGTGTTTCTGCAGTTATTTGCCACATGATGGAGGAAGACATACGAGCTAAACATGCACGCTTCTTTAAATAATGCTGATAAATATCTAGATGCAGGATGCTTTAGGGAACGCAGCACCACCTCCCATTTTCCCACAACAAATTCTGGTTTGGACAAGGCCAGAGGCACTTGAATACTATTAGAAGAAAAAGTCCAGACTCAGCAGACACTTTAGGGCAGTTACAGCCTTGCTGAGGCCAGGCTGATGAGTACACACTGATGTATATAAATATGTAACCATACACACTTAAATTATATATATTAGCTTTATCTATGTTCATGTACGTATGAATGAAGTATACATCTATACACACAGACACACCCACATGGATCTCAATAGTCTCTCCACTGAAAAACTTAAAATCTCTGAAGACATACTTAGGAATTGCTGAAGAATTGATCTAAGTGCAATATGTTCTTATTGGATTTTCCATAAATATACATTAAAATTCTCACTTGTAGTCACTCTTGTGCGAATAACATGGTTGCACAAATTGTAAATGATAAGCAGAGTTTCTAGAAGTTATTTGGAGAACAGGTGTAGCCAGTTCAAGTAGCTTCCAGGGCAAACAGAAGTGGTCAGAACAGGAAACCAGACTTGAGCACGCGACTCCCAAAGCATCTGTATTGCTGTAAGACATCCACGCACACAGGACCTCTCCAGTCCCCACTTCCCCTACCAAAAAGTCCCTTTTAAAAACCTTCTGTATCAGTGATGAGGGTTAGGATTCAGACGATTTAATCAGGGTTATAAAGACAGAAACTAATATTAGTGGTAATAATAAATACGGTGACAAGAAAAAGTCACACTGCAATATCCAAGAAAAACCCTCAAATTTGTGGATGATTTGTTATATACCTCCTCCATAAGAAATTGAGACAATTTTTTTTTTAGCTTTTTCAGCTCATCTGCGTAATATTTTTCTACATTTGGGGTTTTAAAAATGTGCCTTTTTTTTTTTTTTTTATAAAAATATAGTATAAACTGATACAAGCAGTACCGTCTTTTGTTTCAGTCAGATTAAAGCCAAGAATGACACAACAATTAATTGTGGTTTTAACTTGAAAAAAGCTTCCAACAAACGTGAAGATGGATGATGTGATTTGGGGAATCAGCCCCATCACCTTTTTTATAGAACACATTTGTATTGTAATATGATTACAATCTGCCTCAGTGGCACTGCATACCACCATCCCCAGATCAGGGCTGATGTGCTAGTAGCAGTGCAAGGTACCACAGAGATGAAGCCTGAGATAATTCAGGATAAAAACATATCAGTAATGTGAATGCAAGACACACAGCTTGCAAGAAAAGTATTTACTTGCAGTTACATTTTACAGTATACCCTGTCTTATAGTTTCTTTTATGATACATGATTACTTGGGTTTAATCCTCTGAGGTTTCAAGTGCCTTCAAGCTCCTCCTCAGTCTTGTCTCTTGGATCAAACTGTTAGTTTTCAATTAACTAGACTGAGCAACAGGCTGATTACATGAAACTCTTAGAGTCTGAGAGTTAGAGTCTGAAAGTCAGCAGATGGCTACACAGAGGAAAAGCAAAAAATAAAGAAAACAGAATACACTACAGTGTAGTTCTAGGATTCTAGGAGAGAACTACAGAACATCAGGAGATTCATAAAGCAAGCATTCAATCTTTCTTGTGCAAATTGCATTGTATGTGACAGACGTAGTGCATGAACCACAAAGTGCCCTCCTCACATAACACTATCAATCTACTGTGAACCCTGAATAATCCAGACTCTATCTCTACAGCGATACTCCAGAAAAAAATCGAATCCAGTTAAACTTCCTGAACATCAAAGTTGTGCCTTACAGAAAAGAAAATTAAGGTAAAATTTCACATGTTCACATGCTGGTGGCACAGAAAATTAAATCAGTCTTCATGTCCTAAACATGAAAACCACTTGATCAAAGAAACATGGTCCAGATGATAAAGTGCAATTGTTATTTCAGTTGTGCTACAAAGCTTTCCAATTCTGTAGTTGTACTTCTCTGCATACTTTTTGGTGTTTTTATATAACTTCTAATTACAACTTTTAATTACGACTGTTTTTTACTTCTGTCCCCTTCTTTCCAGTACTGCTCAGTCTGCATTTCTGTAAGCCGTGAGACAGTACGCTGAAATGCGAAGATTTCCTCTTCTCCTGTAAACATGGAGAGTCCTTTGGCAGAATCCTATATTAATACACAAAAACAGTACCAAAAAACTGTGAGAAACAGCTGTTCATCCTGTGAAAGTTCATCCTATCTAACTCTTTATGCTGAGTGCTTTACAGATGGGGACAATAAAGGACAACAGCAAGGCACCAATGGAAAATAAAATTAAGCCCCTAATATTAAACAAAAACACCAATTTCATTTAAACAATGCTTTGAAAGAGCACAGAAAAGTAATAATTTGGAGTTAAAACATGATAACACACTAACCATCTACTTCCACTTTTCTGTTGATTAACTGTACAGTGATTGAGACAAATCACTTAAAGATCCATTAACAATAGGTTATAGGGAAAAGGAAAAACAGAATATGCAACATGCAAAATTGTCTGTGAGGATTTGCGAGGCAGCTCTGTACAGTCTACGAAGAGGTAGAACAGATCATTTTTTATTTCTGTACTTTAAATGTTGGAACGAAGCTTAAATCAGTATTTCCTACATGATTAAACAAATATATGATTAACAGTCAAAATGACCCTAAAACTTATGCCAAATGGTTCTATATATTGCGGTATTTTCTTTGCCTATGAGTAACTAACATAACGTGCAATTACGGAAGAGAAAGACGCTGCAGAAAAAGCAGCACATCACTGGTTAAACGTTTACTTGATTCCTCTTCCTAAAACGCTGCTGTAATTATGAGACCAAAACCAATTTTGTTACAAAAGGGAGACGATGCTAATATCATGTACCTGGCTCAAGTCCAAATCATCCATCAACACTCTGTTGTCCTCCAGCTCACCATTGTCATGTTCGACCAGGAACAAGCTTTGGAGAGGAGTCACTGCAGAACAAATAATACGCACCTGAAAGAAAGAAGAGAGGCAACAATATTCAACACCTGTGCTTTATAGAAGAGGGATGAAACGCGTGTTTTATGAAAAGCAAACTTAAGTAGGATCTTTTTTTTCCCAGGTGTTTTTCCTTTCTCTCATTAATACTGCCATAGAAGATTAACCTTACATTGTTGTTTGGAATATTAACCTCATGGGATCTTTTTCTTAACAACACCTCAAGAAACTTTTACTCAGAGAACAGCATAACCGTGCTATTAAATACATAGAATATCTGCTATACGGGCAATGAATGCAATCAAATTTACTTTTGTACGCTAATAGCTATAAAATATTAGTAATCAATGCCTGGTTTTCCCCCCATGGTTAGGTAAGTGCACTGCATGCATATTTCCACCTAAGGAATACCCAACTTCAAAATATCCCCCAAGGCTGAGCTGGGCCACTCTACTTTCACCTAAGATAGTCAGGTGCACACTGCTTGCTATAACAATAATAAATGTTGTTTTCATGTCTGCTGAGAGGAGATATTATGTGTATATGTTTGCATTTTGGACAGGTCCCCACAAACAGGCTTGCACAGACAGCGAGCACAAGGAAGCTGGCTAACGTGAATGAGACTGCTCCCAAGCTCAGCTCAACACCTTGCTGGATCGGGGCCTTTCTGATCATCTTGCCAGGACACTCTTGAAAAAAAATCTCAATTGATATTTCCTGATTGCATAAATATTTAAGTGTATGCATAGACAGCCACACACAAGATATGAAATTTCACCTTTCATTACTTAAAAAAATCATTTTAAACATCAACTTCTCTTTTTTTCCTTGTTCTAATAATGCTGATTTTGCTTTTTCCATAATTGAAGCCTCTGTAAATCCAAGTGAAGTGCCGAATTTATCGTTACTATTCCATGTGAAGCCTCAAGTGACTGTTTCCTCTAAAATTAATAACACAACTATGCTTTTAACTCCTTCGTACCCTGTTCAGGAAGACACTGATCCCTGACCAACTGCCCATACAGATCACTCTCAGTTCAGCCCCAGCACAGTTAGCAACACAATCCTTCATTATTAAAATTTCATTATTAAAATGATGGCTTCTGGTTTTCTTACTTATTTTTTGAGATAGGAAAGAAATTACATCCCTATTCAAGAAAGACAACTATCCCCTAGCCTATATTTACGGTCATGTTGAATACCCACAAAAATCAAAAAAATACCTACATATTAGCCTTACTGTAACAGGACCTTCCTGCGAACCTGGAATGATGTTCCTTTGCAGTCTTTGCTGCTTGTATTTTACAGATGATTAATAAAGAATTGGCTTGCGGTAAGAGGCAGGTTTTAGGGCTCTCAATATTATTCCTACATGTATATGAAAGGCTTGGTTCTCACCTTATGCTCGTAGAAGGTATCAATAAGAGTGATGAAACGACGAGCTTGTGTCCTCTTTGCCATGGTAAGAAGCGGAATTTCACGAACAAAGACTGTGTCAAAATGCTTTGATATTTCCAAATAGTCACTGGCCCCAAGAGGCTGAAACAAAAACCATGTGAAACAGAAACCCATGAGAGGAAGATACACGAACACTTTATCTTGTAATACTACAGTTACAGAAGAATGAGTGAAAAGCCCTGATCATATTATTTTTGTTCCCTCCTATCTTACTTCTGGAAAGCTTCAGTTTGCCCTTACTGACATAGGCAAATGTGGGTCCTCACTGAACTGTCTGCTGCACCTGAGCAGTGTTTGATTGTTGGAAATTTGGCTGTTCCACGCCCCAGCAGGATTTTGACCTTACAACCTCAAATAAAACAACCATTGTAAACCATAACACACAGAAGAATAAATATGGTCAAGCTACAACAACAACCTAAAGCACAAATAATTTGAACAACTATTAGGATGCTTTCTAGCAGCAAGATTTTCAAATGCACAGGCCAGTTACTAAATCCTAGAGTACAGCGACATTTGGTTCACCTATCAACAACTCAAAACAAAAATAACCTTATGTCTAAGCACTAAATACAACAGGAAAAGGACAAGAAGACAATTCATAGCAGTTCTTTTGTTTGTGGCTTCACCTGTAAGGATGAAATGAAAAGCTTTAAGAAGAGCTTGTACTGTACGTTCAATAAGAACTTGTATATTGGTGTATCTAACCCATCAACAGAAGACACAGACAAGTAGTGGTAACTCATTCAAATACATTCACTTTAAATGCCTTTCATTACATGGAAGGTCTTTTTTTCCTGCAAGATCTACCCTATTAGTCCTGCAGGCAGTATTTTATTATAAGCTATCAAGTCACAGTATTCAGGAAAAAAGCTTCATACTTCTGAAACCCATCTCAGTAGTTTTACTTGCGCAAGTACTGCGATATATTGGATGCAACCACTCCACAGAGTAAGATCAGCAGCATTTTGCATAATCCTGTTACAACTCTCCTCCTAGCTAATGAAATGCACAGTACAGTATGGTTATAAAGCACTGCGATACTGCTAGTGTCTTAAAAACAGAAAACCAAAACTATTTTATATAACAAATTGCTAGACTAACTCGCTGCAGGCCAAGCATAACTGCTTCATTAGAATCCTTCAAGAAATTAAGGGCAATTATTAATGACTATCCTTGACCAGGACCTTGGGTTTTATTTAGATATAAGCATGAAAAACCCATAGAAATAGTCTCTGACTGTAGCTGGACTTGTAATGCTTTGATAAAAGAAAGCATGGAAATGTTCAAGGAAGCCAAAGAAACTGGTGGACAGAAACACGGCAGAGACAGCCCACCTAATATCTCACCATCAGCTACCAGTCATGTCTAGGTGGACAACAATCTTATCAAGTACACAAGAAAGCAATGGAAATACTAGAACATAGTATAACATGCTAGGATGCTGCTGGAGATTTTAAGATTAAGCAAATGATTCAAGTAATGATATTTTTTCTTCCACATTTAGGATTGAAACACCGCTAAGTCCAGAGAAAATCAAATACACCTGTATGTTGAACACCTGAAGGTACAATGGTCTCCTTGCACATGAGAAAGGAATGAAACTTCTCTTTTTAGTTAAGAAATTAGGGATATCTAAATAAACAAACTGCTGTTCAGGTTCATTCTTGTATCACACGATGAACCCGAGCACTCTCCTACTGAAGCCCACAACCCTGAGGAATTACTCTCTCTTGCCTCGAACACTATGCATATTCTGCCCTAAACCATACGAACGTACCCTCCTCGTTTCACAAAGATAACCTCAAATATTAAAATCTAATTCCAAGAAAGAAAAAAAAAAGAAATTAAAGAACTTTAAACTTTTGCAAAACTTGCACCAAGGTACACACTTTCATAGAATTAAAGTAAGAATTTAGTGGGCATCTCGGTGGATATCCACACATGGAAATCAAAAACCTAGGGGCTGGGAGGAAGGAGGAAGGTAGAGGACAAAAATAAGGCTAATGCATTTCAAATGTGAAGAAAGGAACACTTTTTTTTTCTTTTATACAGACAAAACACAGTTTATAGAGGGTTACAATATGCATCTTTACCACAGCCAGACGAGAACTCCATCTACTTCTGTAGTTCAAAAAGCAGAGCAGGCAATTCAAAATTCCTCTAATTACAGACATAAAAGGTAGATCATCTCGAGTGTTTTAACAAGAATTTCTGAAACACCTACGCCGGTGCTAAGTGATAATATTCTGTAAATGTTGGCAGAAACATGCCTGTGGAGACTCCCAAGTGTTATGATGAGAAGGGTCTGAGCCTAGCAGCCATTTCTATTTTAACAGTCAGTGGGTACCTCCCTGCCAAGGCTCATGCCCTCGTGCCTGCTGAGACACCACCAAAACTCCCCATCAGCCAGTCGTTGTTACACATGGCTCAGCTGGCACCAGCTGTAGTTCTCCACGTAGAAACATCCTCAAACCTTTTAGGGTTTGGGGAGACGTAGCCCTGGAGATGAAGACAAAGCTTTTCATCTTGTTCTCAACATGACCTGCTCTCATCCTGGAGAAGTCCTTTGAAATTCCTTCTGCCTTATTCTACTTTTTGTAAAAAGAAGGAACAACCAGCAAACTTGCAAACACTGGGGGCAGTTCTAATTCTGTATTGTACTCCCCTAATTTTAGTAGTAGCCCAATTTCTATGCCGCCTGCAATTGCTTAGAAGCTTTTTTATCTCACCCGGTGTGCTAGCAGTGCTGTAAATGGAGGAGATGACGCTGCTGGGGCACCCTGACAGCTTCTCTTCTTCAGAGATGCTGCAGCTTCTTGTCCTCATTGCCCTGTTGTCCTCGTAAAGACAGCATTGCACACACACCCACATACCAATGTGCCACAAAGGAAATGGAGACAGAAAAATGGGTTCAAGTTGAAATAACACCACTGCCAGAGCTGTTGGGAGCATATTCTACATGTAGAAGCTCCAACTAACTAGGAACAGATTTCCACTATCACAGCAGCCAACAGCCTGCCACCCAAATCTCCAGGATTGCCTACAGGCCCTTCTGCTCGTGTTGCAGCGAGACACTCAGTGTTGGCTGGGTCCTGACTTCCAGCAGTATAGGCTTGGACAAGATTAGGGACAAATGATTTCAGACACTTACCGCTGCCCTGTATGTAACTCTTCAGGGATGAAGTTTATTTTATGAACCTCATTTAGTCACAGAAAGTAATCTATTTTGTTCAGTAGCACACATAAAGGTATTTGTTGCTCTGAAGTTGCTAATGAAACTAGAAATCCTCCTAATTGACACACATACATGTAATCGTCTTACTAGAAGTTCAGCCTGATTAATCTGGTCCTCTGAACAGCAATCTAAAAATAACAGCTTAATTTGGTGTGTGCTTCTGGTGCTGTCTGATCTTTTTTCTTTCAACAATTATTGATCAAAACTGAACTTCAGAACCGTAACACATAAATAGAACAATTGTCACTAGCCATTTCTTACCAGCTTTTTTTACTTGATGTGGTTTTATTTTTTGTGCCAAGAAACATGAACAGGTAAGGATCTTTCTTGTGGTATTGTTCCTGCACACGGTAAAACTGTTGCAGATTTTTGTCATTAACTCTGATGCCAGGAGTCAGTATTTTATACGCTCCGTACTAATGCAAAACGCATTAGCACGAGCATGGGCTACCCTCCCGACAAAGTGTTTACGCCACTTCAGCCTGCTTGACTGAGTTCTCACCTTCATTTGTTTTTGTTTCTCTGCCTACTTAATGTATTTTCAGCTACCATCATCTCAGTTCAAGTAGGATGTTTATTATTTGGAGCTCTCTGTGGACTGTTTTAAGAGTTAGCTGTCTTCTGTTCCTATTATATATGCCATTAATTAAAGTATAAAGCATCCTTCTTTGTTGACTCACCAGCAACAAAGTATCTCATCTTTTAGAGATTGCCTGAAGAATACAAAACACTTTACATATGTTAGAAAAAGATATTTCATCTTCAGAGAAAATCTACGTTTGTTGATATTGGAAGATATTCCAGGGCTAATTCTAATATAACGCAGAAGAGGTGTGATCCAGAATAGCTATAATTTAGTGCAGAAACTCCAATACTCCAACGACTTCCTAAAAACAAAATATGGTTTAAGACTATATAATATTTACAACTTATGTAATATTTACAACTTAGACATTGAGCAAAACCAGAAAACTACAGAGCTTTTCTGTTGTTTCGTAAGGAGCCACACACTATCACTACTACGGCTGATAAAACAGAGCACCAAGGTAATCAAGGTAACCAAGATCACAATTCCAGAAAGGAATAGAAAATCCTGAAGCATGAACTCTGAATGCAACTGCATATTTAAAGAAAAGCATAAAACATTCAGGGCACAGCTAACTTGATAAAGAAATGTAAAGATGCTGAAGGCAGTGCACATCTTCTGGCAAGTTTTATAAGTTACAGGCAAAGAAGAGATGTTTATTTCATGTACTAGTAATATGCTGAGAATTTAATGGAGAAGAAAATTCCTTCCCAAGTTTTAGTGAAGGGGTCTTGTGTCAAAAATAAATAAATAAATAGGCACGTCACATCAGAAGACGTACCAAGGAAAGATCAAAATAACATGCAGTTTTGTTTTGGTGTTTCCTAACTAAGCATTGTGAGTTGGCCTGCAACTTTAAATCTGTTTTGATGATTCATTATTCTTCCTTCTAAAACACTCTTTAAAGTAGGTTTTAACTACTCTCAGATGGAAGACACCAAAAAATAAACAAATCAGTAATGCCCCCACTGCTAATCACACAAATTAAGGTTACATTGAAAAAACATCATTAAAACTGAAAAGTCAGATGTTAGACAGTTGTCTGCGTGCTCCATAATATCTTGAATATATGATATCGTCTTGAATTGCTTTATCTGATGCTCCCCCTCTCACGCAGGACCCTTGACCCACCAGCATGCAGAACAGTGATTCTCACATAATGCACATTCATCAGTACATGCTTTGTCCTCTTTATCGGCGTGTCACAAGGTCTCATTTTTCATGGACTTTTCCAATGCTTGTGCAGAAGAAGAATTA